TGAGCGCTGCTCATTGGTTCACTAAGACGTGACACAAATGCCCGTGGAAAAGGAAATAAAGCAGGCCTATTTAACAGAGAATATACGCATATCGGGGTACACTGGGGTATATGCAGGAGACACAGTACTCTTAGGGTAGTGAAATAGAAGTCATGATGGGTGGATCATGCAGATATGTTGGGAAAAACGTAATTAATGGATACAAAATATTGATGAGAAAAGCTCTTGGAAAGAAAGGCCCATCTGAGGGCCGAGTAAGACGCGGAAGGATAACATCAAATATAGCTCTTAGGAAAGTAGAAGGAATGGAAGGTGGATGGAACTGGCTTCATATCGTGTCCAGTGGCGGGTCCTTGTGTTAGCAGCTTTGGAGTCCATAAACGTACTAGAGAAACAAGTAGTTCTTGGAAGAACTGATGGCCTACTTTCCTTCATACAATCCCCAGCCGTTCTCTAGCAACGATAGGGGGATTTTTACCGATTCGTTGGCTAGCAACAATAGAAGCATACACATATAGAGAGACTTATGGAAGGGATTTATGAAGTACGCAACTGAGATAGGCGCAGGTACCATGACATACATACCAAGTTTCGCAATTATTGGTTCAGCCAATCAATATTTGATAGGGGGGATAAGCAGATATATAGTCATGAATAAGCAAACAGCATGGTGATCGCTTAAGCCTATTTTTAGTTTTTTAAGATAAGGAAAGTAGGTTAAAAAGTGTATTGTGGGTAAATGAATTTTTCCCGACAACTTCCCTTCGAAAGATTTATCTCTCCGACAGATATTTTGTTAGTTATTTTCCAGATATCTGCAGGAATACATTCTGGTATTCATGTAGAATGTCAATCATCGTTAAAGAAAACTGAAATAGGTCGACAAATTTTGTTAAGATTTTCCGATACCAAATTTCATAAAATATATTAATCTATTCTCAGTTTGTTACTTGTGGACAGACTTGCATGGTGACGTCGTAATGTTTTAACACGTTGCGAGCACGTACGGCTGCGATCAGTTCTTACATGTGACACTGGGAGAGGGGGACTTCAGCAACTCGGTCGACCAGATGTGTTCCTCTGGAAAACTCTTATATTTACTTTTTACGCTTCACGTCCTTCAGCTGTTATATATTGTGTCGGAAATATGTAACAGCTGAAGGACAGCACTATATCATTTGTTCGCTGTGTCAACATGTGATGAAACAGGCACTCAGAATATGATTAGCTTTCGCATATCTGTGAACCAGCCTTCAAAACATTTTCTATCATCACAATTATAATCGGTACTACATAAGGACCTAGATGTACCAACAGTACGAGAGGAAATAAAAAAAAACAGCAAAAAGTATAAAATCAGACTCCAGGCCCATCCGAATGACTTGGCACAAAAACTACTCGACGACGAAGGGGAAATCAGGAGGCTAATCAGATTTAAACCATCAGATTTGCCCACCAGATTCGAATAATACAACACTTAACTGCATATCACTACGCAGTTAAAATAAGTATTGAGCATGTTCACTGGAATATGCTCACCACGTCAAGTACGCTCTTTCCTTTTGCTGTATGTAAATTAACCACAAAATGTACTTATTATCCACACTTAATGGATAGACTGTATAATTATTGGAGTTCAATAAAAAAAAATATAATGCATATTTGGCTGCACATATATGCAATGAGGTATTAATTTCTCCCTATATTCGTTCATCGTTCCATATAATAAATGGCTTTTCCCAAGAGTTTGTTAAAATATACGCAGTAAGATAGTGTCCAAATATCCATGTCGGACAATTATATGTAAAAATATAAACTTTTTTGTGATTTATTCTACGACGCTGTAGGTGTGGTCTAGTGGTCAAAGTTCCTGGCTACAGATCCAGAGGTCCGAGTTCGATTCCCGGCGCTACCAGATTTTCTGAGAAGTAGTGTGTCTGGAAAGGGGTCCAATCAACCTCGTGAGAATAACTGAGGAGCTATTTCAATGAAACAGCGACTCCGGTCTAGAAAAGCTAAATTAACGGCTGTGTGGATTCTTTATTGTAGAGAAAAGTATGGTAAATACGAAAGAGGCCTAAGCAATGACCATCCAGCCTTCTGTAGCACATCTTATTCTGTAACAGCGGTAACCCCGCGATTCCTAATATAGATCTTAACTTAAATCTGAGAGTATACTGTCAATAATCAGTTCAATTACTTCTTTTACTTTTCTTACAAATCTATTTCATATAAATATAGGAATGTTGTTTACGAAGTAACAGACACCTTGCACATTTTTTTTCTTCTAGCCTTAAAGAGTTCTATAACTGACTTTGGGTATTCTTTGCAGCTGTTCTCAGACAAAATGTCCATCATTGTATGGCCGTGGGGATTCTTTGCGCAGACCACGCGACACCCTCTATCCGCTAAAATTGACACTAACTTTGCCGACAAGCGGCGGTCGCTCGATCGGTATAGCTCGCTTGCGGACTAAAACCACGGAGTTTTTGTTCTGTGGGTAAAAGGGTAAAGATATCCTTGTAACAGGGCGTGCAGGACCACAGGGTTGAGAGACTTGGAGGCTCCCACATGCTCTAGAAAATCGACTCACAGACGGCGGTAAGTTTGTCAGCCTTACAAGCCGGCCAGCCAGTACCTAACAGGAAGATTCCTGGTTCTCATTTCTGTTAGAAGCTGAGTCTGCCTCAGGGCCACAGTGCGGTTGGAAGGATTAGGTCAATTGAAAAATCCAATGGCCCCATCAGGAATCGAAACCGCGACATTCCGGCTTGTAGCAAATTTTAACTTTTCCAATTTATTCTTTGTCGCTCCCAGAAATCTGCCGTAATATGCAATCCCCCGTCTGGTTGTCCATGCACCAAGGGGGGGGGGGAAGATATCTGAGAGGTCTAAACTTCGAAGAAAAGGTAACGTCGACACCAAAAGAAGTCCCTGCCGAACATAAAATACTTGTGTTCCTGTGCTTCATAATGTCGACAGCGGGTGTACTGGAGTGTTCTATCTCCACTTTCTGGCGAAAATGAGGTAATGCGCTTCCCTGATTCTCCGTATTGTGCAGTACTATCGCCATGTACTTCCATTGGGTTACCCTACTCCCAAGTGTGAGGTTCCTAAATGTGCTTCGTGCACTTAAAACTCAGATTCCCGAAGACCGGTTTGATGGACGTAACATTCCATTACTCGGGTGATGAGCTGCGTAAAGGCAAAACAAAAGTAAAATTGTCTCTGTGCTTAATAAATTAGGTACCACACCATGAAGGGGCCGGAATAGTGTACTCAGTATAGCGACTGGCCATGGGCTGGACGACTGAGGGGTTGGAGTTCAAGTCCCAGTAGGGTCAAGAAATGTTATCTCTCCAATAGTCCAGACCAGCCCTGGGGTCCACCCAACCTCCTATACAATGGGTACCGGGGACTCCTTCCCGGGGGTAAAGCTGACCATTCATCTCCAATTAGTGCCAAGATCACGAAAATGTTGATCTATACATCCACTCCCCCACATGCCTTCAAGGCGTAGTGCTTAATTAGTTAAGCACAGGGACAACTTTACCTTTTTACCTTCACCGTGAAGGCGTGTACAGGTGAAAAGTAAATCTGTACCTGTAGCTAATTAACCACTAATTTTTGAAGACGTATAGGGGAATAAAGGTACAGTTGTATGAATTGCTAATCTCGACATTAGGTGAAGGTGGATACTTAGTGTCACGTATCGACCCGCTTTACCTCCCGGGGAAAGAGACTTGGGCGTCCAATGAATAGGAGGCTAGGTGGGCTCCACTGCCGGTGTAGGCGTAGTGCAGAGGTGAACAATTTCTCTCCTCAGATCAAAACCTGGCTGTTCAGCACTTGCGCAGTCACTATAGGCTTATTGACTGAGTGATCTCGCCTATATTTGCCAATTACAAATTAAAAGACGTTAGAAAACAATAAGATATCATGTAGGATGAAGAACTTGGCACCAGCCTCACGTTCTGAATATTCAGAGATAGTTTTCCTTTCCTTAAGAAAGAAAGTAGGCTCATGATATAGCCATACTATGTATTTGTGTATACATGTCTGTATCTCACCTTTCAATGCTCCAAACCCATTCACCGATTTTCACGAAATTTGATATGAACGTCATGCCACCAGAGGCCACGCGAACGTTGTATTTCTTAATTTCTCACAATCTGTAATAACAACACGAAATTGTGAGGCGAGAACAAGATCAATGTTACTTAACGTACAATCCAAATATGGTAATAGGGCTTCGAAAATTATGCAAATTTTATTAAGGGTGTTCGCGGTAGCGTAGTTGGTTGAGGCACTATGATACAAGCCGGAAGGTCGCGGGTTCAAGTCCCGATGAGGTCATTGGATTCTTTTTCAATTGACCTAATCCTTCCAGACGCACTATGACCCTGGGGTCGAGTCAACCTCTAACAGAAATGAGTACCAGGAATATTCTTGGGGGTAAAGAGCGGCCGGCGCGTAGGGCTGATAACCTTGCCGCCATCTATGAGCCGACTGTCTAGAAAATGTGGGAGCCTCAACCTCTCACAACCATATGGCCCTCCACGTCCTGTTGCAGGGATACTTTTACTTACTTTTTATATAAGGCAACGAAATCCGGGGAAGAGGGGAGATGATTGGCTTGTTACATGGAAATCCCAAAGGCAAGCACTGCAGTATTGTGTAAATAATTTGAGATGGCTATCTTTTGGAATATAATGACTTGTATTCCGTTGAAAACCAACCGATGTTTCGGAGGAACATGTACCAATTTCGAAAAACAAGTTTGCCACTTTCTTCACTCTGGTTTCTTGCTTGGGTTAATCTTCGACACGCTGAAGATGGAGGGGACATGTTCCTTCGAAATGTCGGTTGATTTTCAACGGACTGCATGGCGTCATACCATTTAAGATAGCACTCTTCATAACCACTGCTGTGAGAACCTCAAATTATACATAATATGAAATTAATACAGAGTGTTAATATTCAAATTGTTTATGTTACAGTCACTGGGAAACCACGAATTCGACGATGGCGTGAAGAGCTTGGTGCCTTTCATCAACAATGCGACATTCCCCATCCTGGCGTCGAACCTGGATCTTAGAAAGGAACAAGATTTGTACAGGCCAAACCTAAAAAATTCAGTCGTCTTTGACCTCGGTGGGGTGAAGGTGGCCGTCATTGGATACGTCACACCCGATACCAAGGTACGAGACTACAGGGTGATTAAGAGTACAACACATTCTGATAGTGTTTATCTTCTGCGATGTGACGCTGTGCAGTTTGGTAATCGCTGAAGATAGTAAAATACTCTTCACAGTCGCAGTTGCGAGAATTTCAACTCTATTATACTGTAACTACATCCATTTGAAGTGCAAACATGAAATAAGAATCAGAGGTTGAAATAAAAAGTAAGCTTCACAACTCACCGCCTCGCGGGTATGACTTTACACCTATAATTTCCGACTTAATGATCTTATTACCAACAATCTGCACGGCACTGAAGTCAGACCGATTCTCATGCCACAACTAAAAATGTTCGAGTTTGTATTCTGGAGTGCATACACATAAATACATAAACAGATTAAATAAATAAATAACAAATTCAAAATAAATGAGGGAAATGCAGTAATAATTGTAGTTGGGACAGCTCAGTCAGTACAGTGACTAAGGTACTGGCCGGACAACCGGAGAATCGGAGTTCGTTTCCATATGGTTAACTAAACACAGGGAAAATTTTTATTTGCAACTATATAAATAACTAAATACAACTATCAATCTGAATTATTAAAAAATGAGCAAATAATTAAATGAAGTAAGTGAACGAATAAATAAACACATGCTTAAGTAAATAAATAATCAGAATAAGACGGAATAATATAATTAATAAACAAGCAAAGAAGTTAAGCGTATATATAAGTATAAACAAAAAAAACTCCGTGGCCTGTAGTCCGCAAGCGAACTATATCGACAGAGCGACCGCCGCTTGTCGGCGAAGTTAGTGTCAACTTTAGCGGACAGAGGGTGTCGCGTGGTCAGCGTAACGAATCCCCACGGCCGTTACTTTCTGTTTTCTATACCGGAGCCGCTGCTTTTCCATTTAAGTAACTCCTCAATTATTCTCACGAGGCTGAGTGGACCCCGTTCCAGAACCACTATTTCTCAGAAAGGAACCCGGGATCTCAGGATCTTTAGCCAGGAACTCTGACCACTAGACCACAGAGGCGGTCATATAAGAAGTATAGATAATTATATGAAACAAACATTACACAATGGAAAAGATTAGAGCACAATAAGTACATAAACAGTAGAAAATAAACTGATACCTGAATGAATGAATAATTATATATATGTATAGCTAGCAAATACTAAAAAAGTATGAACAGTCATTATGCAAATAAATACTATTGATAACTTTAATTGTTTCTTGCATCCTGTTGTGTATTTAATCAATATTATAGTCAATTTTACCGACCACACAACATATTTTTATTATTACGCTACATGTTTCGACCTCAAGAGGTCATCCTCAGGTGTACGAACACAGCTGTATAATTACACGCAATCACATTCGTCTTCTCACGACATGGACCGTAACAGATCCACAACTTCAGAAGACGCAGTAGAACAGCAAGACCTCCAAAAGTGAAAAAGTGCAATCTATAATAAAATTGAACTTTAATTCATGAACGTTTAATCAATAATATAATTAAACTAGTTAAAGTGAACTTGACGCAGTGATGAACGTAAGTAGGAAGTGACTGAATAACAAGTGAAAGTGAAAGCATAACTAGTGACCTGAATTGAAATTCGATTCACAAACCTTATTTTTTTTTTTAAATTTTGAATTTAAATTTTAACTTTTGACATTTAGAACAATTTTAACTTGTGTTTTATGAGAGAGCTTGATATATTATTGAGCGTGAGCCTAAATAAGATACAGGATCGAATAAGTGAGAAGACGAATGTGATTGCGCGTAATTATACAGATGTGTTCGTACACCTGAGGATGACCTCTTGAGGTCGAAACATGTAGTGTAATAATAATAAAAATATGCTGTGTGGTCGGTAAAATTGACTCTAATATTAAATACTATTGATGTTAAAGTACCATGTAGGAGTCATAATTAAACATCATGAAATTAAAAGCGACGCCACATTTCAGACGATTACACAGTGAATAGAAAGTCTGAAATAATCATAAAATTCTACTTGAGAATTTGCCACTGGAATTGCGTATTTGTTGCAGTTCATATCTCAAGCAGGAGAGGTGGAATTTCTAGATGAAGTGGAGAGCATCAAGGCTGAAGCGGAACGCATCAAAGAACGGGAACCCGATGTTCGAATATTTATTGCTCTTGGACATTCTGGCTTCGAAATGGATCAGAAGATCGCTGCCGGCGTACCTGATATTGACGCAGTGGTCGGTGGGCACACCAACACCTTCCTCTACAGTGGTAAGCCTCAGAGGTCAGCTAGTCTACACCTACGCTGAAGGGTTCAGTCTCCTCGGATGTAACGCTATTGACCACACCGCTGTGAGAACCTCAAATCCTACTATGTGATTCTAAAATATTGTCGGGGTTTCCATGGTCTATAATTTTCAAACCGGAAATAGAATGAAACTGCTAACGGGGTATGAAAGTGTAACTCAAAAAGTTTATTTGGCAGCGCTGTACTAGCCGCATTAATACCTTGGACAAAATATGACCTCATATTGAGAATTTCTTGATATGCATTTTTCTGGGCGCTGGGTTGGGCGTGAAGGACCAATTCCGTGGCCTCAGCGCTCACCTGATATTATGCCGCTTGACTTATTCCTGTGGGGAAACTTTAAGGACAATGTTTACAAGACCCCTGTGACTTACCTCGATTAACTGTAGCTCAGAATTGTGGCTGCGATCGAAGGATTTACACCGCAAATGCTGTAGAACCCTTGGAAGGAAACTGAATAGCGCTTAGACATCTTACGTGGTATAAAGAGCGCGCATGTTGAAGTTGTTTAAATTCTCCAGTATTGATTCTATAGGTAAAAAACGTTTTTGAGTTACATGTCTTTATTCCTTATATAGTTTCAGTTTAGCGTTTCCGGTTTGAAAATTATAGGCCATGGGAAAACTCGACAATAATTTAGAATCAGCCTGCCTATCTCCGTTGTCTAGGAAACTGAACAGTGCACGATAAGTATGGAACCACAGACAATATGTCTTTTGTCGTAAAAGTCTGCAATGTCAGCGTGTTCAAGAACGGCCATTGCATGCAGTGAGATCACACCACGAACAGTTCACTCCATTCTCTTNAAAGAAAAAAAAAAAAAAAAAACCTTCGCGTATTTGCCTCGGTGTGACTGGTGGATATAATGGAAATATTTCTAATATCTGTGGTTTGATTTTCTGATAATCCTGCTCTGTATGTTGGGGCGGAATTATCGTTAACTGTGAGGAATATAAACTTGAAGGGGTATCGATAAGCAAGCATCATTTCCGGCCAGGTCCGTGTTCATCTTCTGAACCAGTTAAAAGATTTCGGTGAAATGGAGGTATCTACATTAAAACTTGCAGGATGAATTTAATTTTAGTCTTTACGGAGCCCAAGTCACATATGAGCACTGTTCAGTACTGCTTGTTAACCATTATATCCTGCCAGTAGTCTACAGAGGCAGGTTCGGTGCAAGCCTAAGGGCGGTATTGCACTAGGATGCCAACGGGAGGCCATGGTGCAGCTGCCAGCATCTCCGCCAAACTGACTATTAATTTAGTAGTCATTATGACACCTGGCATCTGTCTGGCAGTGCTTCCAACTTGGTGTCGCTGCCAACCAAGATGCCAAGTGCTAATGCTGCTAGCAATCAACATCACACGACAGTCTGAGGCCAGTCCATTGACGTCCGTGCGTGTATACGATGGGGTACCCAAAAGAAACCGAACTAATTTTTTTGTGGGCATAGCTTTTGTAGTACCGCGTTTTGCCGCTATGAGCGCATAGAGCTAACATTCCTGAGTCGATAAGCCGACTACCGTTGCTTCAGAAGGTAAGGACTAGTTTCGGCAGAGTTTATAGTGACAACTGTTTTGTGTGATCGTCGTTTTTGCAATGGCCCGAACACATGAAAATGTTGAAAAAATTCGTGAAATCATCAAGGAAGATCGATGACGGACCATTGAAGAAATTGTGGAGCTGTCGGGAGTGAGTTGGAGCTCAGTTCAGCGAATTTTGACAGAAGATTTGGGAATGACAAGGGTGGCTGCGAAATTCGTGCCACGACTGCTGACTACTGAACAAAAACAAGGTCGCGTGAAAGCATACTGTGCTTTGAAAGAAGAGTCCCGAAATGATAAAAACTTTTTTTCAGCGTTTTGCTGATGTTGCTGAGGTGAAGGAAAAAACGACGGAGGCGCTGTCAAGCATCTCAAAAGATGAATTTAGACAATGTTTTGAAAAATGGAATAAAAGACTAGACAAGTGTATTAGTGTAAGTGGAGAGTACTTTGAAGGGGATTGAAGGTTTTTGCTTAAAATTTGAATAAATACGTTTAAAAAAAATAAGTTCGGTTTCTTTTGGGTACCCCCTCGTATGTGCTTGTGTGTATTTCTTTTTCCTTCAAACATGTCCAATTTCGACACCGAAAGATTTATAATTGAAGTTCAGTCCCGACCATCACTATGGGCGGTATCGCACTAGGATGCCATGGCAGCGACACCAACAGGGATGCCATGCCTCCCGTTGGCATCCTAGTGCAATACCGCCGTGTTAAAATGTGCATAGGTAAAAGGTAAAGTTATCCCTGTAACAGGCCTTGAAGGCCCATAGGGTTGTGAGACGTCGAGGATCCCACATTTTCTCTAGACAATCGGCTCACAGATGGCGGTGAGGTTGTCAGCCTTACGCGCCGGCTGCCCTTTACCCCCCCAGGAAGATTCGCGGTACTCATTTATGTTAGAGGCTCAGTCGACCCCAGGGCCATAGTGCGGCTGGAAGGATTACGTAAATAAAAAAAAAAAAATCGACCTCATCGAGACTCGAACCCGCGACCTTCCGGCTTGTAGTATAGTGCCTCAACCAATTACTCTAACGCGTGCACTTACAATGTGCATACACAATGTACAAAGAACAGTGCTTCCCTGACTATATACGAGTACTTCTACTTCTGCGGACACTACAGTCCATGATGAACTTTGGCCTTCTTTGCTATTGTTCTCCATTGGTCTCGATCCTATGACTTTCGTCTCCAGTTTGTAACGTCCGTTGCCTTCACATCTTCTTGAGCCGTAGGCAGCCACACGACAGCAGGTCTGTCTACTCGGGGAGTACCCTCTGGTTTATGTAGAGTTAACTTCTCGCAAGGGTTCTGCTCCTGCATTCTAAAGAGTTGTCCCAGCCACACGACAGCAGGTCTGTCTACTCGGGGAGTACCCTCTGGTTTATGTAGAGTTAACTTCTCGCAAGGGTTCTGCTCCTGCATTCTAAAGAGTTGTCCCAGCCACCTGACAGCAGGTCTGTCTACTCGGCGAGTACTCTCTGGTTTATGTGGAGTTAACTTCCCGCAAGGGTTCTGCTCATGCGTTCTAAAGAGTTGTCCCAGGCATCTCATCGGCCCTACTATGATCACTGTCACTATATCTGGTTCATTATACAATTTACATATAAATTTCGTGGTTATATGCAAGATCTCCGTATACCATTTCTTTAATTTGGCTTTATATTCTTCTTAATATCCTTCTTTCAAATATTCCGAGCATATTTTCATGGTTCCTTTTGAAGAGCCAGCTTCCACTTCCATAGGCGAGTATAGGCCTTACAAGTGCCTTATACACAGTACAATTTCTGACTATATACACAAACGTAAAATAAAAGACCACAAATTCAGCAACTTACTTTGATCTTTATGAATTTTGTTGACAGGTAGTAAGCCAGACAGCGAGGATCCTGAGGGTATCTACCCCACCTTCGTGACGCAAGAGTCCGGACGCCGAATTCCTGTGGTTCAAGCTTATGCCTACACCAAATACTTGGGACAGCTGAGTCTTGAGTTTGATTCTCAGGGAGAAGTCATACACGCCGTTGGAAATCCACTGCTTCTTGATCACAACGTAGAGCAAGGCAAGTCATGCTTTGTTTCTGCAACTAATAATAAGTTAATATTCTGATAAATTTGTATCTGTAACTCTCTCCATCGCACCACCATTATATATTTTATATCTTCTTCTTATTCTTCTTTTATGGCGCAACAGCCCGATGTCAGGCCTTGGCCTCCCTTATCAAGCCCCTCATATATTTTATATACCGGTACTAAATTGTAATCGCTTATCTTCTTATGTGACCTCCTTCCTGTCTATCTATTACTAACTTCTGAGTTCCTGAACCAATCTTTATGAAATTTGGTATGTATATCATGGCACCTCAGCCCACTTCAACGGCATACTTCATAAATCACTCCCATCAGTCTATGTATTTGTATGTGTGCGTTGCTAGGCAACGGCTCCGTAAAAACGTTACCGCTGCAACGAATACACATGCAACAATAGAAGAATTGTTGGACGCATCTTTCTCTATGCTGCCCGTGTCGTATCAAAGGAAAGTAGGTGTTTAGTTCTTCCTTCTTGATACTACGGCCCGAAGCAAGCGTGAGCTTCTCCACCGACACTCCTACACAAGTTCCTACCCAGCTCTATTTCATTCCATGCCGATAATTCATATGCTAAGTCTCCGCTTGACACTATCTAAACAACTTGCACCTGTCTTCCTGTTCGTCTACAGGTAGAACCTCTCATTACATTATAGTAACCAAACACCAAAGTGAGCCATTGTAACATAATGTGTCAGTGTTGTTATACGATTCTGAGGTATTGGTATTGTAATGTGTATACCCGCTGCTAGGCAACAATTCGGTGAACACATTCCCGCGCGAGCCATTGCGAACAAGAATAGGAAGTCCATTGCTACGCAACGAATCAGTAAACATGCCTGCTTAAAAATAGAGGTTATTTTCTGTGGGGTCCGTGCGAAGTGGTTATAAGGAAGTGTTTGGCAATATCGTAACCAGTAGACCGCGTGAAGGCTGGGTCGAATACCTTGACCGTAACCCTGCGAGTCATAGGGGGCAATGGAAAGGGAAGTCTCAAATCTGAGAGTAAAATATGGTAGCGAGTCCCACGGGGCGCGGACCAGAGAAAGACTGCGCTAGCAAGGGCCAGCAGCATACACAAAAGACAATAACTCTGACAAATGACAGACAAGTCCTCTCATCAGAGAGGGCGCCCCACAAAAACAAGACCGTAACTATCAAACAGTAATAAATAACTGGCCATGAGCCTCAGACGGGGCTCGACACCAAGACTTACTGACTGACCGTCAGTCACAATGTGACTTTGACTTTGACTATCATAACCAGTGACGTTTATCCGAAGTGCGATTATTGCTTGTCGAGTGGGGAGTCGAGTTTCGAGACGCCAGCCTGCCAGGATATGAGCCTGAGAGCAGAGGAACTGAACTTAGTTGAGTCTTCAGAATTGGCAGTTCCAAAATAATGGCTAGAAAGGAATTAAGAATTAGGCTGTGAAAAGAACATTTCATGTGTGATTTGAAATTACAGTGAGACTGTGATAAATCCGTTGCCAGGATACGACTAGTGAAGGCTGAGTACCCTAGTGTGTGTGCAACAGTGAACTGTAGAGTGTGTAGATCAGCGTTAGAGTTCCATCGCCTGTAGTCCAGAGCTGTGAATATATAAGGTGCAATAAATCCAATTATCAATCCAGCCCCATCTATAGTCACAAATACACGTGCCAGTATATAGAAAACGTATAATATTTGCGCTTACGAGCATTATCAACACCACCGCTGCTTGCTGGTATTTTCGAAGCCATATGTAGAGGCCGTCCGGAAAACTAAACTCGTGCCGGATTTCAGAGGTCCGGCCTGTAGTACAGTCCCTATTGTGAAGGTCAGTATATTAAAACAATTCTGTGGTTAACTTATTCCTTGAGTAGGCAACCTTATGGTAGAAGAGTCCCGTATGTTAAACGGAATCTCCAGTACGGCCATTTTGTTTCCCATCTTATGTTTAAAAACATAGCCTAATCTCGTAATGATAATGTGAAGATGTACAGCACTATTTGATGATGGCGCGCACACAAAGGTGTTTGTAATACGATATACCATCATGCATTTTAATTTGTTTTGGAATGATATCCCATCCACCTCAGTTTTCAGTCATTCTCCGTTTTAATTGTAGCATTCAGCAGATATAATTCAGAACGATCATCTGGTCAGCCATCGTCCATTTGCATTAATGAGACCATGGCCGCCCAAAGGGGGGGGGGATGAATAAAAAAAATCAGAATATAAAACTCTGTGGCTTGTAGTCTGCAAGCGAACTATATCGACCGAGTGACCGCCACTTGTCGGCGAAGTTAGTGCCAACTTTTGCGGATAGAGGGTCTCACGTGGTCGGATCCCCATGGCCGTTAATCTTGGTTTTCTAGACCAGAGCCGCTATTTCCTTGAAAGAGCTCCTCAATTATCCTCACGAGGCTGAGTGGACCCCGTTCTACTGTCGTGACCCAAGACGTTGGTGGGTTGACTGAATTACTTTGGCCCGGTAGCAGTGCCTGAGGTGGAATGAAAATAGAACCGGGATGGTTTTCCCCTTTTACCAAAAAAGGTATTGTACATTGCATTTACTGCCAAAGAAGTAACGGGATGCTTTTAAGCCATTTAGAAAAGAACCGGGATGCCATCCCGCCGCATCCCGCCCCACCTCAAGCCCTGCCCGGTAGTGTAATAATTCTGTGATGATGATTGTCAGTTGGCTGCCTGAGCATGTATTCCAAACACAAAAAGCAAATACTTACTACAGAATATAGAGGATTTATTGAACTGTGTGTATATTACATACAAGCGCTGGCGGACGTAAGTCTGGCCAGTCTTCTCCTAGCAAAATCCCAAACAAACTGCACCCTTCAACTCTTGTCTCCTTGAAAACTAATCTAACCTAAGGTTGCAGCCCAATGTCTCCAGACAGGAAGAGCTCACGAATCTCAAGTTAAACCAGAGTTAGTTGAAGGATAGGTCCCAGACGAAATACTCCAGGACTCCACTGATTTATGAAAATGACAGGGGTAGATATAACATTTTTAAGTGGAGGAAGGTTAACCTTTTGACAAGCTACAGATTTTAGTAGAGGACATGACCCCAGACAACAGACTCAGGGTTCCTAACACTACAGGGGTGGTACAAACCTTTGCGACACCACACCCACTACTTCTCAGAAAATCTGGTAGCTCCGTGAATCGAACCTGGGGCCTCTGGATCTGTAGGCAGGAACTAGACCACAGAGAATTACATAACTTTTATACTCTGAATACACAGCGGAGATCGGTACAAAAACTGCGTGCTTCCACGTTTGGAGTTAAAATAAGATCTTATATCAGAACTAAAATCTTTCGCGTGAGATGTGGCTCGCTATCAAATACTGGGGAGAGAGACAGGGGTCTTTAAATCACGGCGCGATTATAACTACTGTGATGTAGTGTGACGTATGTAGTATGATGTAGTATGGCATAAGTAACAAATAGGTAGTAAGTTATAGGGGATAATTTGATTATTGCAATTAACATGTACATGACAACTTTTGTAATCTGAACATTTCCTAACTACTGTAGACCGTAAGAAGTTGGTTATATATTGACCTCGACCTCTGATAAGACCGTCACAAACACACTGTTATGACTAGACAGAAGGGTTGAGAAGTATCTCGGTCAAAAGATCATATGACCATATATGAAACCGCTCACTGCACCCTTATGTATCAAAGTCCAGGTCCAAAAGATCATATGACCATATATGGAACTGCCCAGTACATCCTTGTATATTTTAAGAAATGATACATTGAACTTGATTGTAAAATGTAAGCATGATACAAGAAGTGAGTAGTGTGTGTGTGAACAGAGGAGAGACCAACAGGACCTGGTCGAGTGTACATCCATTGTACTTGAAGATTTACTTATTCTATTTCTGGAAAGTCTAATTAAACTATTTTCTACACGTAACTTTCTTCATTCTTCGAACTCCTTTGACTATAGTCAAGACAGGGTCCTTATGCTACGAATTAATTGGAACTTTGTATAATAAAATAATTATACATCTTATGGTGATGCCCTGAAGAGATCACCTCGGCTATGCAACACTATGTTCGTCGCCTTTACAGGGCCCAGCATTCGCTGCCTGTTCGAGAACAGGTCGCAGGAGCCCTTCATATATCTTACATCTGGTCCTAATGCAAAGATAACGTGACCATAATGGTGTTCGGTGTCCCTGACATGTTTCTCCTTCATTTAGTTCGACTGGATGAAATATTCATCATCCCAGACTAAGCATCAAGCTCTTGAGTATGGAAGAGACTACAGACGTCATTCCAGTCCAGATCAATTTACCCAAGTCATGATGATGATGCAGACTAGAAAACTGTACAACTAAGCGTGAGAAAAGTTATTTAAGGAGGTATAAACATTCTACATGCTGTTTATGGTTCTCAGTATGCTTCCGAAACAATAAACTTGTTTTTTCCCATATATTCTAACATTCTTTTTTTCTTCTTCTTCTGGTGCTACAGTCCATGACGTTGCCACTTTTACAGGTTCCCCTCATTAGTCTCGATCCTGTGACTTTCCTCTCCAATTTGTAACATCCGATGCCTTCCCATCTTCTTCAGCCGAACACAGCCACCTGACAGCAGGTCTGTCTACTCGGGAGTACTCTCTGGTTTATGTAGAGTTAACTTCCTGCAATGGTTTTACTCATGCGTTCTAAAGAGTTGTCCCAGCCACCTGACAGCAGGTCTGTCTACTCGGGAGTACCCTCTGGTTTATGTACAGTAAACTTCCCGCAAGGGTTCTACTCATGCGTTCTAAAGGGTTGTCCCAGCCACCTGACAGCAGGTCTGTCTACTCAGGAGTACCCTCTGGTTTATGTAGAGTTAACTTCCGCAAGGGGTCTATTCATGCGTTCTAAAGAGTTGTCCCAGCCACCTGACAGCAGGTCTGTTGGTTTATGTGGAGTTAACTTCCCGCAAGGGTTCTGCTCATGCGTTCTAAAGAGTTGTCCCAGGCATCCCATCCGCCCTACCATGATCATTGTCACTATATCTGGTTCATTATACAATGTACATATAAAGTTCATGGTTATATGCAAGATCTCCTTATACCATTTCTTTAATTTGGCTTTATATTCTTCTTAATATCCTTATTTCAAATATTCTGACCTTAGTTTCTTCTTTCCTTTTAAGGGGTCAGCTTTCACTTCCATAGGCCTTACAAACGTCTTGCATAAAACACATTTTGTCTGTCTCCCCAAAAATCGTGAATTCAGTTGCTCCTGGCATGGCCCTGGAAAATCTTCGTTGAAAGAAATCTATTTCCAATGCTATAAAGATGTCATGAGAATCATTTTCATTTCGTGAATCTTGTTGTGTTTATTATATACAATTCTTTATTGGAATCCCTTGTAACACAACAACATAACGGTCAAGGTCAACATTACCTTAGCTACATGTTTCGAGTTTTAGAGCCATCATCAGGCAAAACACATGGTTACCATATTCATATACTATTGAACTGCATTTCATTGTGAAAGTAGAGCTGGATACTTGGCAACTATGTTACACTATAAAATACAAGGTACAAAAATACAATTAATTATAAAATTATTATAAAACGAAAGTTATGTAATAAAATGTGGTTAAAAACTCTTCATGCGATATTTCATATTATGAAGTCAGAGTTGCAATCTTCTTGTTATATTCAAGCAGACATATAGTGGTATAGTCATGACTTGTACACATATAGTAAACTGCTTTGGAGGCCCGTGGTATAGGTGTAGTATTATTTGATACTGATTGTTTGGCCGGTGCTTCATTTTACAATTATTTTGTCCGCTCTGGTGGGAATACAGATTGCAACTCAAATATCAAATAATACTACACCTATACGGGGCCTCCAAAGCAGTTTACTAGACGTGTACAAGTCTTGAATATACCACTGTATGTCTGCTGAAATAACAACAAGACTGCAACAACTGACTTCATAATATGATATATCACATGATGAGTTTTAACCATATTTTATTACATAACTTTCGTTTTATAATAATTTTATAATTCATTGTATTTTTACACTTTGTATTTTATAGTGTAACATAGTTGTCATGTATCCAGCTCGACTGTCACAATGAAATGCAGTTCAATAGTGTGTGAATATGGTAACCATGTATTTTGCCTGATGATGGCTTTAAAAGCTGAAACATATAGCTAAGGTAGTGTTGACCTTGACCATTATGTTGTGTTACGACGATTCCAATAATGAATTGTATGTCATAAGTATCTTTCCCAGTAATAACAAATTTGCAAGCTTTAACTATAATAATTTCCTTTTAACATGTGTTCGTCATGCGCAGGGGCTTTCCTACTGATCTGAAGTGTCTAATTCTAGAAAGTCATTTCCACTTCTGAAAAGAAAATGTATGTTTCCAATTTCCTTAACACAATAAAATACGTTTTTATTTCACAGATACTGAGGAGTACGATCTTATTGGGGGTTACGCCATGTAGTTCAGAGACACTCCAACGTTTAGGAGGATGATATCGCCTCCATCATCACGGTCAAAGTGTAAACTATCGTGAAGATGAAAGCAATATCTTCAAATGAAACGTCGGGTCTCTCCCAACTAGATGGCATTACAATTCAGGCGACAGCAATCATCATATTCACCGCTTTAAGATCAAATCAAACTTTATATTACATTATTTTCGTAGAATATATTTATTAAAGCTTCACATGACGTTTCACAAAAAAATCACGACAAATTTTATACTTCTATTTCATTAGTTGATTTAGTGTGCAAGTTTAATTGCACAACGAAAAGTATGCAAGAAATTTAAGCTGTAGTTTTCCTATTTGCAGATCCCTTTATACTTGAAGAATTAAATAAATGGAAAAAGAACATATCATTGATGGCAGACGAAGAGATAGGAAGAACAAAGGTTCTGCTAGATGGAGATACCAAACATTGCCGTGTACATGAATGTAACCTTGGGAACTTCATAACAGATGCTTACATTGACTATGTAAGTAGAGCCAAAATGAACTAATGATTAATTGATTCAAAGTATTAGCTATCAACTTTCCAGGTAATGGCTGAATGACTAATGAATTCAAAAGTGAGATTACTGCCTGTTCACAGCTATCAAACAGAAATGAATAAAATCAAAACAAAAGATCCTGCAACATGGTGGAGTGGGTACACTCCTGCTTCATCTCTGGAGGCCTAGGGTTCAAATTTTCTCCCAGAGATTGGGCAGCCTGACTGAAGTTTTGCACTGTCTTCCACGTCCCTCCAGGCAAATGCCAGGACAGTACCTCAAATTAGGCCATAACTGTCCACTTTTTCCATATCCTTTCCAATTCATTGTTCACTAAGCACCCTCTCCTTTGACTCTGAACTACTGAAAGCCTCATCAAATGAATATAAAAAAATTAAACAGAACTGGAAAGTGTACTCTGAAGGAGTACATACATTTTATGAATGGGTTGTTTGCAGTCTGCATACTATATTAGCTTTTCAATTCATGTAACATACTTATTTTCCATATAATTAACTCCATGGTGCTGAACCCTTCTGGAGAATCTGCCAGTTTTGCAACCACTCAAGAATTTCCCAACATTTTATGAAACCTGAAAGTTCATTGCTGAGTTCACAAAAGCCTTCCACTGGATTTCCCTTATATGATATTAAATATAAACCATATAAAAATAAATCTAAATAAAATTGTTGATATTACTGAGTTCTATATTTTACATTAACTACCAATACTTCTTGTCTGATGAGCCATCTTCAAGGAAAATTATAACATTTGATTTAAGCTTCATACAGAGAAGGCATTACCGAAGAGAGATGAAGTGACAGAAGGTTGGAGAAAACTGCATACTGAGGAGCATCATAACTTGTACTCTTCTCCAAGAATAATTAGAATGATCAAGTCAAGGAGGATGAGGTGGAAGGGCATGTAGCACGAATGTGGGAGAAAAGGAATGCATATAGGATACTGGTGGGAAAGCCAGCAGGAAAGAGACCACTGGGAAGACCAAGGCATAGGTGGGTGAACAATATTAAAACAGATCTTAAGAAAGATAGGGTAGGATGGTATGGATTGGATTGATCTGGCTCAAGATAGGGACCAGTGGAGGGCTCTTGTGAACATGGTAATGAACCTTCGGGTTCCATAAAATGCTGACAAATTCTTGAGTAGCTGCACATTTGGCTTCTCCTCAAGAAGGGCTCAGCTCCATAAGTAAGTAATAGAGAAGGCATTATACTGATGCCAGTTTTATTCTGGTACTTTGGTTTCCCTTGCCAACTCTCATTCCATGAAATACCCCATTTCTTTTCTCTATCATCCAGGGCTGGTACAATGGGCCATTTGTGACCACTGTACCGACAGGTCTCGCCCCACTCTATGAATATAAAAAAGGCTGTACTGGGACAGCTTTTACAAAGCTGTATGGTTTTGTATTGCTGCAGGCAGACAGCCACAGACAGGATGTTATGCAGGAAAGAGTGCATTTGTGTACAGTAGTCCCTCATGTCATTTGATTTTTAAGATCTCCTTACTGCATTAGGTATAAATGCTGAATTGTTCCATATAAACAGAAACTTAAGGGCTAATAATTAGATATTCTTTGTCACTTTAGATGGCTCGCCTGCATAAGCTGAACTATGGAAAAGGTTGGACTGATACCCCAATTTCAATTCAGAATGGAGGTTCAATTCGAGCATCTATTGATGTTAGCAGTAAAGGGGGTAAGTACACTTAACTGAACAGGAATACAATTGAAAATTAATTTCTATTTGAAACTATAGAAACTTTTTTTATTAAAATGAAAGTGAGAACCAAATTATGTTTACATGTCTGGACAGACTACCAGATGTCCATGTTTAATGGCTTATTGTTACAGATTCATTTAAAATGTGTGTGTACAGTTCAAGGGGTTACTTTACAGGGCATTCAGTATCAGACTACACAGTGTATAATGGAATGACTGCTGAATGATGAATTTGAAAGGTTTGGAAGGATTTCATAAGGAGTGGTTATGGTCCAATTACGATACTTGTACTATCCCTGCATTTGACTAGACAAAGGAATATACATGTAACCTTAGTCAGGGTGGCTAGTGTCCCAGTCAAGCTTAAAACAAACGACTTTCTGGAAAAAATTCAAAGCTCTACTGCTAGACCAACCTGCCGGGTGACAACTTCCGTCAAAGGTCAAAAGTTGAACACCTGCTCATGCATTGTATGTTCTACCTTGAGAATAAAAACAAGTATGAGGTTATCCACAAGAATGCTCTCTGAAAAAAGAGCTGACAATACCAATATGACCCACTTGCCAAATTGTTTTAGGTACAGGATGCACTAACGAAGAAGTTAGCTTGAAGTAAGACTCCATATGAGGCTTACAGATATATTTGAGAGCTGTCAACACAATAATTATAAAACCAATATTAAAATGATATTAGGTTTATTTACATTGCACTATAAAATAAAGAAAAGTTGTCCCTGTGCTTAGCTAATTAAGCACTACACCATGAAGGTGTATGGGGGAGGGGATGTATAGAGCCACATTTTCTTGATCTCGGCATTATTTACATTGCACTATAAGTTTCAATATTTGTACACCACCTGATGATCTCTGCAGATCGAAACTTGTAGTGGGATAGAAATAATGCCAAGATCAAGAAAATGTGGCTCTATACAACCACTCTCCCATATGCCTTCATGGTGTAGTGCTTAATTAGCTAAGCACAGGGACAACTTTTCTTTATTTTATAGTGCAATGTATATAAACCTAATATCAAACAAATTAATTTGGTTTTTTAATCAATTCTCATGTTGACGCTCAAACAATATACCTTTAATTAACACTTCGCGGACTGGTGATTTAAATATTTAAATCACCCTGGGGACCGGCGTTTTTAAACCTACTACCCTAACTTGTGCACTGTTCACTTTAAAAATTAATATAAAATCTCCTAATTAATTTTATGAACTAAAATTTTTGGAGAAGACTTACCAGAGCTCCTAGAAGTGCTTCAGAGTGTGATATTTCTGGAAACATTCCCCTCTGTGAAGAGGCATGACGCAGAACTTGCAGACGTAGGAAGTCTTGCTTCGCTTCTTGTGCACAGCGCACACACGGTACTGCCTAGGATACTTCCCCGTCGATTGTTGGCTCATCACAATTTTCACGAGGGTATGTTTCCGCATATCACTCGAGAGTCGCCCAGGGGGGGTCCATATGAGGCCTCCGTGGGGTGGGAGTAGATGGTGGCGCCATGTTTCAGGGATTTACATTCCTCTTTCAGATCTGGAGGAAGGCCTCTGTTCACCCTAATTGTAACACAAATACACACTTTCCTTGAAAGTAGGTATTCCGCAGCTGCCACACTGTTATAAAAATTATCTTGATAAACGTGATAATTTTGATCCAGATAGGGATCCAAAATGGAAACAATAGTTTCTTGCAATTTCTTGCCTTCACCGGAATAAATTTCTAAATTTCCAATATAGCCTGAAGTGCTTTCCGTGACTACACGAACAAGTAGGCCATACTTTGTGAGTTTCCCAGGATTATAAGTTCGAAAACGAAGCCTTCCCCTCCAAGGAATCACAGATTCGTCCAAAGACAGTTGCTGCTCTGGCTTATAAACTGTCTGAAATTTCTCAACGAAAAAGTCTAATAAGGGCGAAATTTTGAAAAGCCTGCCCATTGATTGTGGTTGCAGTTCATTATTATTGAAATGCAAACACCACCATATCTGTTCATATCTCTTACGACTCATGAGTTTGCCGAAAATGGGAATTTCTAAAAATTGATCAGTGGATCCGTAGCATTTCAAATTATCCCTCTTTGTAAACCCCATTAGAATGATTTTTGCCAAAAAAATTTTCATTTCTGCTGAAGTGACATCCACCCACTTCAACACCTTATAGGTACTGTCGTACGCCTCACGGTGTTGGAGATAGTATCTGTTGGTCTCCTGACACAACATGTCAAAGAAACTATCTCCAAA